CATGCCAACCGAGTGGATGGCGTTCTGTCGGAAGTCGGCGCATCCCCGTCTCAAAATGTCCACATCGCTCTGGCAGTAAGCTAAAAGTTCTCCTTGTAAGTCGAACAAAGCTCCTTCTTGCCCTTTTTGAGTATGCCACTGGAGGAAGACTGTGCGTTCCGCGGGAGACATGCCATCGGGATCGTACGTGACGGCTCGTGGATAGGGACCTCTGTAGGTCTGGTTGACTCCCGTATTGAAAAAGTGTGGAAAGTACCCTTTCTTCATTTCTTTCAGCCCAAAGCTCTTGGGAAAGGCTTTCAGGGGGTAAGGGATGAAATTTAAGCTGTCTTCGAAACACAACCGTCCCAGGGTCATCTGCAAAATTTGTTGGCCATGTCGGATCTTGGTGGGGAGTGTCACCAGGAGGGGGGACAGACCCTTCAGGATTAAGTGTAAATCATAGGATAGTGCATTGTGGGCCATCACATAAATGCGATCCTCCTTCGGGACTGTATGGCAAGTGGTGTTCTTGTTCTTTGGCTTCTTTGTTTTCTCCACTTCCATGACCTCTTCCCCCTCCACCTCTTCCCCCTCTTCCTCCGCCTCCTGCTGGGGTGATGCATGTCGTTGACGTTTGGAAGCATACTTTCTTGAGGGGGTGTCATCCCGTTTCCTTTTTTTCCCCAGGCGGTCTGTTGTCCCCTTGCGTGTGCTGCCCTCCTCTTCCTCTTGGTGGGGCTTCTTCTTGGGTTTTTCAGCCAACGTGGTCAACCACACACACACATCATGTCGCGTGGTGGGGCCTCGAAACACGATCTCACGGCTGGGACCATATCCTTCTTCTCTCCATGGACAGTGTTCGCACAAGTCCTAGCTCACTTCACTGATGCACCGTCCACATCCCAGTTGCACCACGCACAAATTTGGAATGTGTTCCCCCGTGTCTTGCATGCATTCAAAATCGTAGAAGGCGTATTGGACATTGTCTCGTACGTGATGTTGTTCCTCTTCCCCCTCCTTCTCCGCTTCCTCTCCCTCCCCCTCCTCCCCCTCCTCGTTTTCTTCACGGAGAGGCGTCATGTAACAGCGATGGTCTGGGGTCATGGGTTCTCGGCACACCAAGCAGGGATGTTCTTCGTCGAAGCACTCATGGTGAACCATGGGGGTCTCCAAGACGCGGACCAGATGAAAACAGGTCGGGCACCTGTGAATCGATTGACAGGCGCTGGGTTTTCCCTCTGACGGTGACTGGAGATGTCGGGTGTAACACTACTGATTGGGGAACCAACGTTGACATGTCAAGCAAGGGATCCCGTGCTCTTCCTGGGGCTTGCAATAGCTAGAGTGGAGGCAGCGGTGACAGCGGTATTCCTTGGTGCAGGGATGTTTTTCGGGATGATCGTAACGTTTGTCGCAGTGTTCGCAGTAATGGTTAGAGCTATAAAAAGCGGGCATGGAAGTGATGACATCGTAGTGCTGATCATGATGATAGACATGCAGCACGGTGGCGTTGGGTGGAGCCTCATCACACTTGTACAACAGTCTCTGGTCCACCTCTTGACTGTAGACTTTCAGTTGATAATTCAGGGGGACCAAGGCGCGTCCCACGCGTGCGAGGTCGTCCAGGCCCTGACAGGGGCCTTCAGGCAGGCAAAGGCGTCGAAACAAGTCCCGTGCCCGTATGCCTTGAACGTCGACGCGATCCGTTCTCGTCAGTCTCATTCGCTCGGCGGTCCATTCTGGGGTCAAAGGGTGGGGCTTCTGGGCATAATGTTGTGCCACCACCAGGGCCCGTGCCAAACAGGATTGATCTTCGTTCTTGATCTGTACAATGCCTTTTTTGCGTGTTAAAAAGGTTTCGAGTCCAATCACGTGTTTCAGCCGGGGAACACCACTGCCCGATCCTAGCCTGTCGGGATCTGCGATGTGTACTGAAGTCACCACCATGGTGGCATCGATGTTCAGGTCTTTGTTGTACTGCTGGACTTTTTCCACGGCATGCAAAATATCGAGCCCATGGAGATCTTCAAAGCGACGAAAGGGAATCCGTATGGGGGTGTTCAAAGCGGGATGATCGATACCTAGACCAATACGATCTCCATTCTGGCCTGACACCTGTTCATAAAAGTCATCGATCACCCTGTCAAATAAAACTGGCAGTTCCATGGGAACGCGTTCCGGTGGTATGGTGTCCAAGTAGTCTGGGTTGAAAGTCAAACGATAGGTATGGTTAGCGGTTCTTAACCGCCTGGAGCGGGTGGTGTCTTTCCTCTCCAAACGATAGGGTGTACTCTGCATGTCCGTCATGGTGGCGATGAGTGTCTGATGAACGTCAGCCCTTCCTTTATATACACAGAAAAGACGATCTATTTATAGAAGGTCTCTGATTGGTCGAAAATCTGACCAATCAGAAGACAGCACCGACCAATCAGAAGACAGCACCCGAGCCGAGTTGTGCTTTCTCTCCCATGGAAAATACATTTTTTTCCTATGAAAAAAAACAAACACAACAGTCGGACCCATTTGAAAAACTGAGGCTCAGTCCAGGCATCGAAACGGATCCATCGGCGTGTCGCGTTTTGGAGCCATCAAAACAGGAGCCCTTTCGGTCCACTCTAAAAGTTGAAAAAATGAATTGCGTTGTGTTTTTTAGGATGGAGAAATCAGCATGCTCACCCCAGGGAGAAAAACAGGATAAAAAATGGTTACCCATCAGAAGCTTGGGTTGTCGTTCAATCAGGAAACAGGTCGACAGTGTCTTAAATAAGATAGACACTCTCTGGTCATCACTTTTCCTATGAAAAAGAAACACAAGGGCCGGGCCAGTTTGGAAAACCGAGGTGAAAGTCAGGCGCCGGAACGGACCAATCAGCGCGCAGCGTGTTGGACCAATCAAAACAGGCACCATTTCGATCGCTCCCTGCATTCCTACATGTCTGTGCCTGTCGATTCACCTTTAGAAATTCAGGCAACACCTTGAGCACCTTTTCGCCACTCACCCACTGTTGCTTAAACGAACGATTGTCCTTGTGCTACAATACGCCCGCCTTGTGGAACAAAACCTTACATCTCAAAGTTTACAAACACATCACCATAGTCGATGACATCATTTGTGGCATGTTGTAGCAAGATCTTTCGCCGATGTGGTGTCAACCTAGCAACAGAGTGGCAGAGTCGTCGACTGTGTATGATAACTTTGATAAACTCGTCTCAGTGATCTATCATTTCCACACGCCATCGACACCCACCCTGCTTGCTTTGCCAACACAAACAACAACCATCCAAAAGAACCCACACCCTCCCCCTCGTCCTCTTGGAGGCACACGCCTACGCGTAACACCACCATGGTACGTCTCCAAATGATAAAATTAATATATAGAATTTGAGACGCGTGAAACACCACGTGTGCCTGGAGACACGAGTCAAACACCACGTATGTCTATCGATCTCTCTCTCTCCTTATAAAATACAAAATAGGATCAATAATCCTGTGGATCAACGTGTGTTTGAAGACACACACGCATGACATCACGATTGCATGGCAACATGAAGTATATGACGTTTTGCATGACAACACACGACGTACATGACGTGTGCATGGAGACACGAATGACAGTACGCCTGTCGACCTACACGAGTACCGACTCCTCGGCGTCATTCATAATAATGTTCATCCTATGGATCAACGTCAACGTCTGTTTGAACACACACACACACACACACACACACACAGAGGACACCACGTTTTGCCTGGCAACACGCGTGAAACACTACGGGTGCCTGGCAACACGAATGACAGTACACCTGTCAACCTACACGAGTGCCAGCACCTCGGTATCATGAATAAATAAATGATAATAATCATCCTATGGATCAACGTCAACGTCTGTTTGTCGTCACGCGTGGCACCACGTTTGCATGGGGGTGACACGAAGTACTTCACGTAGGCATATACCTACAACACGTTCATGTCTTTGCCTGTCGATTCACCGTTAGAATTCAGCCAACACCTTGAGCCCCTTTAAATTCGCCACTCACCGACTTTTAACTTAGACGAACGACTGTCATCGTGGGCTACAATACACGATCGCCTTGTGGAACGAAACCTTACACCTCAAAGTTGACAAACACATCACCATACCCGACGACATGATTTGTGACACGTTGTTGCAAGATCCTTCGCCGATATGACGTCAACCTAGCAACAAAGTGGCAGAGTCGTCGACTGTGTATGATAAGCTCGTCTCAGTGAGCTATCATCTCCACATGCCATCGCCACCCACCCACCAAAACAAAACAAAACAAAACAAAGAACCCGACTCCCTTCCCGCCTTCCTCCCTCCCTGAATCCCTCCTCCCTCCCTCCTCCTCCCTCCCTGCACCACCACCGCCTTTTCTATTTCTATTTTTAGAACAACAAAAGAACAACAACCATGTCGATCTTGTTCGCCTTGTACGACCGTTTCTCTGGGGTTTTCCCCATCCCTCCTCCCCGGAAACGGAGGCGACGCCCTCTTGGAGGCGCGCGCCACCGGACACGGATGCGACGCCATCTTGGGTGCGCACGCCACCGGACACGGATGTGCCGCCATCTTGGATGCGCGCGCCGCCGGACACGGATGTGCCGCCATCTTGGATGCGCACGCAAGTCCCATCATGCCCCGCGCGCATGCGCAGTCACGTGACCAAACCGAAACCGGAAGTGACGTCACAGATCCTCTCGACCAATCAGAAGCCAGGAGCGGTTCCAGACCGCTGTACACAACTACTAGTGCCGTAAAGCATGAGAAAGCTGTCCCCTGATTGGCTAATATTGACTACTTGTTAGCCATGCCATTGGTCAAAGTTTGACCCGTCTGACGTGACCAGTAATGGGGTATTCCCAGATTTTTGTTTAGCGGTAACGAGAACTAAGATCTGATTTTAATGAGATTGTGTTAATGCATATCGAATATATATTCATTATTGTCACAAGGTACGTGGGCGTTTGTTTGAAGGAATCAAGTCTTGTGTCTTACCGTCCAGCCACCACCGTTGTGGGTCAGATCGCAGTGAGCTAGGATCGGACTTTGCCCGTCAGGTGGAGTGATGGTGTAGGTGTCATCGGCCGCTGAGGAGATGTTGGCTTGAATTTCACTGCAGTCGCGGAGACCTACACAATCAACATTGACACTGACCACTCAACTGGACATGAGTACAGGACAAAATAGTTATATAAAGTATCATTCTTATCAATGAATATTTATTTATTTATTTATTTATTTATTTATTGATTTATTTTATAAAATGAACGCGACATCTGTTTCAGTAATCAAATAGGTATAATTCCTCAAATATATTAGTTGAGCAAAAAGAGGAAATCCTTTTGTGGCTTTCTGTTCCTGAATGTTTGTGATGATTTAAAGAATGACTTTGCTCATTGTCGTAAATTTGCTCACGTGAGGCACTGTCTTCATCACCTGATGAACGTTAACAAATAACACTTCAATCCTTATATTGACATAAATCAAAACGAAACCATCCACTTAAAAACCAAACGTAATTATTTATGCTACCCATGAACTTTTTTAACTCGGAGTTTTGCTTTTGTCGTGACGTCATCCGTACCAAACATTCAATTTGGAGTTACGTCCCTTGGTCTTACAATAGTAAAAAATGGCTTCATTCACTTGAAATAGAAGTTGTACCTATTAAGGTTGGACTTGAAATGAAAACAAGACCTAGACGCTAAAAATGGATAAAATGGACGTTCTGTGAACTGTGGGTGTGTATTTGAGTCATACTAAGGAGTGGTGAGCAAAACAACCTCTTGATGGCCCAGGTCAGCTCCCCCATTAAGGATTTCTCCTCCAGACCCTCCATGACTGGCATGAAGTTTTATCTGGAGTGGAATGCCATTCTAAGTTATAGATTGTTCAAGAAATTGTATCATAACAGGTTTAACGCCACCAATACCACCATCTGTTCAACCTAGATTGGGTTGAGATATGGAGATCTCGGTGGCCAGGGCAAGTCGTTGATGTTGGCATTATGAAGGTAGTCTAGCGTGACAAGACCTGTGTGCGATGGAGCATCCCCCCATACACCATGAAACTATCGCCACCTAAATTGTCGGATTCACGTACAGAATGTGGGGCAAAACGCTTATTTCATCGACGAGGCTGTCTGTATGGCTCGAACGCAAACGTCGCTGTCAATTTGTTGCAAAACAGGGACGATAACTGGTCTTCTGGGTCGGAATCCAGCCTCGCGAAGATGGTTCCTGACGGTCTGGTCAGGTATCCTCCTCAAACCAGGGACGCATCCGGCAGTCTCCATAGCTGTGGCATTGCGATTACGTAAACGGAACAGTCTAATGTAGCAATCCTGTGCAGGGGTTGTAACTCTTGGTCGGCCAGTTCTCGGACGGTCTGCAGTGGAGTTGAACTTGCTGTATCGGTCACAAAGACGGCAAATGGTGCTGTGGTGGACGATAAAGTGGCGTGTAACAGTCGACTGTGATTCCCCTCTGTGGATACGTCTCTATGGCGATGTTCCGATCGGCAGCGCTGAGTCTGGGCATTTTCGAACTTGATAAATGTTGACAAATGAATGACAAATCTTTGGCTTATGCTTGCCTTTTTATAGCCACTACCACGAGTTACGAATGCCAGAACTGGCACGTCCCTTTTACTTTAATGCTTTCCTCCATGACATTTTTGACAAGTGTGAAAACAATGCCCTTTAAGACATTGCAAATCGACAATGGCTGCGTTTTGATCACTGTATGTCGAATATCAGGCCACCAACATTTTCCAAAAACATATGTTCAATTTCTATACCGGAATTTTTGTGTTCAGTGAACTACATTCTACCTGTGCATTTCTTTTTGGGAAAGTCCACATCATGTCACGATGATTAGTGTTATTGTGCTACCTCCAGTTGATCAAATTTGGAGATGACTGTCTAGCGTAGCTCCGTCAAATTAGTATCTCTTGTTTTTCTATGTTTCTATGACGAACATTTAACATATAACCACATTTCACATCACCTCACTTTGCAAGAACATAAACCAAATGCCATTACATACTCCAAACAGTGACAGTATGTGAGGGTCTGGGGTAGAATACGTCTTCAGCAAAACATGCTTGTCGTAAGAGGCGACTAACTGGATCGGGTGGTCAGGCTCGCTGACATGGTTGATACATGTCATCGATCCAAATTGCGTGGATCGATACTCATGATTTCAATCATTAAATTGTCAGGTCCCGACTCGATTATTTACAGACCGCCGTCATATGGCTGGAGTATTGCTGAGAGCGGCGTTAAACAGCAAACAAACAAACATTATGACTTCCAATATATCGGAATCCATTTAAAAATATTAGATGGTTAAGTCTCGCACAAGTTCATACCCAGCTTACCAGCGCCCTTGGTGTACTGCACGTAGTACTTGAACCCTGCCCGAGGATTCATGTAGTCCTTGCTTCTGTATGTCCACGAATGAGCTTGACAGGATCCGGTTTCTGAATTGTGGAAAAATGAAGCGCATCTTTTGTGTCTTTTGCACATTGAAGCACAGCTGGCCAACATGAACTCGGTTTTCATCCATATGGAAGTTGAATCACGGGCAAGTACGTCTTGGAGGAGTTGAACAGGCCTAAAGCTTCCCTGTTCACATTGACAGGTGGCTCGAGCCACAAGAACAGCGGCTATGAACGTTGCATGAAGGACATGGTGATTCTGGTCACAACCTGCCATCATCAACCAGCCAGCAGAACTAACTCGTATGAAAGCGGGGTGAGTAATAGCTATATGCCACTGTCGTATCAATCAATGACGCCACTGAGTGTCTTCAGTATCTGCCTGTAAGTATGTACAATGTATACGTTCAAGCAGAGTGTGTGTGCATTAAAGAACTGACTTTCATTGTCTGAGTTCATTTAGGATTGACTGTGTATTTTTTCGGTTAATTGAGGTCTTCGGATTCATACAGTTTGCGCGGTTTTTCGATTTATGAACCCAACAAATACACAGTCTATGTTTTTGGAAAAAAAACAGGCGAGGGATCCTGCACGTTTGCTGCTTTATTAATTCTTGCCCTTCGGTTTCAAAAGTTCTGTGCATTCAGATTCTCCAACATTTCGCAGTAATAAAAGAGGTGCGCCTCGGTGGGCGTGGTATTATTTTCTACATTGATTGGGAAATGAATGCAATAACAAGTGACCAATTCAGCTAATCAGAATTCAGGAATTTCAGTTAACACAATGAAAGTTTAAATGTTTTAAACCTTCATAGAGTGAGTGCCAAACTGTATGAACGTCGGAGCTTTTTTTATAAAACTATTTTTGTAGCTCAAAGGGTGTAGATCCAGAACGGTCCACATTATATTTAGTACGCGTGACTTCGTGTTTAAGCTGACAGCCATACAACAACCAGCTTTTTCACAGAATGAAACATTACTCAAAACGAGAGGTGACATAGGCGTATGTAGGCATGCTCCACGGGAACAATCTTTGTAGTTTCTTTAATCACTTGGATGGGTTGTAGCGAGGATATCCCTGAAGGGGGATGTATGTCAAATCGTGATGATACCACGTGTTCGCGATTAGACGAGCGTGTCTTGCCAGCGTGTTTCAAACATGTTATCTCCTGAATCTTCCATGGACCAAGTTCTTGTTTAGTCTTGCATTAAACATCAACATGTAGTAAAGCAACAATAACATGAAATATGTTATGGTCTCTCGGGGATACATGTATATTGATTTCACTGTATTACTAGCCATTTCCATTTCAATCTGTTTTTCGCATTCTGTGAACGAAATAAATAGAATCGAACTAAAGGACATTTCAGCTCCTGTGACTTTGCACAAAATGTTGTTTTTACTTCAACATCTTTCCTGGCAACACACAAAGATTTACTTTTTTTATGAGGTACTGACGACGAACGTTACACGACATGAATCTAATCCATGAAAGTTGATCTAGTCATTAGCATCCAATTAGAACACTTTAAAATTTACCAGCACTAATGGGACTCTCAGTGAATCCACATTAACGTTTATTGAAACACACATCCAGTACACACAGCTGTTCTTTTCACTGTTCACAGAGTACTTGTAGCCTCAATGATACACACATATACCACCGTGAGTGAGTGAGTATGGTTTTATGCCACTTTAAGCAATATTCCAGCAATATCAGTGGGGAAATAAGAAATGGGCTTCACACATTGTACCCATGTTCGAAATCGAACCCAGGTCTTCAGCATGACGAGCAAACTCTTAAACCACTAGGCTACATGACCGCACCTTGAAAGTTAGGAAGGAACGACAATTGTACTACTGATCAGTGTTGCATGCCTGAAATTTGGATTTTAGAATTTGTATTAATTTCTCACATATTCAAAACAAGTACTCTTCTCCACAACCAAAACACCCCTATTCCTTTTGATAGTCTCTCATAAAACACATTACACGTGTCAGTGAATACACTGAGCCTCGGGTAAACCACTCATGCATGGTCAGATATGCTCAAGAAGTTAGCAGACCCCGGGTTGTAACCACAGAAATACCAGAAACGGTCGATGTATAACAGCTTAGAGTTACAAGATAGATACATGTGGCAGACATATCCGCCAATGAAAACAGTTGTCATGGCCATGGTTGTTTGGCCACGCCACGATATAGGTTTGTTTTGGAGGCCGATTACCGAGCAAGGGATTTCAGCACTTTTACATGGACATCTAAATACTTTCTATGAATGTTATGATTTTTCGCTCTCTGAAATTGACTAAATGTATGAGGGAAAATTGATATCCAAAACAAAATCACTTTACTTGCCCTTCAAAGACGTAATTCGTTGGCTTGCTTGATTGCCTAGTGTTAAAAGATGCATAAGCTTCAGTTTTATTTGACGCTTCGCCAATATGACTTCATGCAATCGGTCTATTATGTTTTTGTTCAACTATGTTTGTCCGCTATGAATATACGTTAACATGGAATCATTGAGAGTCCCATTAGTGCTGGTAAATTTTAGATGTATAAAGTGTTCTGCTTGGTTGCTAAACGACCAGATCAACTCTCATAGATTAGATTCATGTCGTGTAACATTCGTCATCAGTACCCCACGGGTTCACAAATCTCTTGTCATTCTAGAGCGAACTGTCACAAGTGTTTAAACATATATGAATTGTTTTACACAGGTGAGGCATATTTTGTACAAGACCGTTCAGTGATGACACTGTGTTGTTCAGGTCATATAATCACAGCGAGAAACTCATGCAAGTGTTTCAATCTCCAGGAAGCATCTTTACCAAAAATATGTTGGCAAATTAGACTCAATACAAATAATTCTTTTTGCTTTCTTAATCATAAAGTTGTTCTCAAAAGTAATGATACTTAGGTGGTAGAATCGGAATGTGTTCGCAAAAAAGGCAATGCCCAACAATGACACAATTTGCATGAAAGAAGTAAATATTTGTGTGTTGCCTAGTAAGACCTTGAAGTAACAACAACTTTTTGTGTAAAGTCATAGGAGCTGAAATGTCCTTAATTTCGATTCTCTTTATTTCTTTTACAGAAGGAGAAACACCTGATTGAAATGCGGATGGCTGGTAATACAGTAAAATTAATATACATGATAGACCATGACGCATTCCATTTTATTTCTCTTCTCTGCACGTAAATGTTTCATGCAAGACTTGGTCCATGGAAGATCCAGGAGATAACTACGTGTTTGCAACACGCTTGCAAGACACTCTCGTCTAATCGCGAATACTGTTGCAGTTCTTTTCGCCTCTTGCCTTAATTGACAGGTCCAGTGAACATTGTTTTGATCTTACTCTCCATTGATTGGCTACTGACTGTGTAGGCGTGTCAAGTTATGTGCATAGATTAAACGATCACCTGATTCATGTCACGCCACAGTATGTATTCCTACACCTTGAATGTTTATCAACGTCGTCATTTTTTTCTGTTTTGATATATACAACTGTTTTTGATTAAACAATTGAAGATAAAACATGCTTTTTGCTGTCGAATTTAATTATAAACATTGACTGTGTATTTGTTGGGTTCATTGTGGTATGAATCGAAAAACCGTGCAAACCGTATGAATCCGGATACCCCAATGAACCGAAGAAATACACAGTCAATCCTAAATGAACTCAGGCAATGAAAGTCAATTCTTTAACATTTTTTTTAATTTGACGTTTACACGACTTTTCCATTGGACGAGGGGTCGGTCACATGACCGCGAAATTGCCGTTCATAAGTGTAATCGAGACAATTTGACGTTCATATGCTTTTCACGAGACCGTGTTCTTGAAATGACGTAAACACTCACTCACTCACTTCAACATTCCTGGGGAAACCCCTGGGAATTCCCTAGCACGAAAACATACATAACATTATTTCTGATCATTTAGAACCTTAATCTTGGTATCAGCATTTCAGTATACATTGAGAAACATAAGAGAGCTTGACTGCATGATTGTTCACGAATTTCCTTGCTACGGATCATCCTAATGAACAAAAGAAAAAAATGCACATCCAAACTATCGTCAGTATCGACTCGATCTGTGTTTAGGCTGACAGTGATTGTCTCCAGCGATCTACGAATTTACCTTGGTGTCTGTTTGACGCATCTTTAATCACCTTTCAATAATTGGTCAGTTGATCAATGATGACTAACACATGTTACCGCCACAGGTTAATAACAACTTCGGAAATCCTCCCGTCACGTTTATCGTGTCGGACATTTTGACGTCTTGTACTTGATGTAAATGTATTACGACGCGCTGTAATTGTGACTGACTTACTTAGGGAGTTCATTACAGACCTTTCTCATCTAATGGGGATATTATATGAACACATGTGTTGGGTAAGATGTTTCTGAAGAGCAAGTTCTGCATCCATACGTTCATGTCACCTCTCTTCTATTTACCTTTGAGGTAAATTGTGATAACAAAATTATAAGAATTGACTTTCACTTTGTGTGAGTTCAGTGGAGTATGAACTCCAAGCTCCGACGTTCATACAGTTTGGCCCTAACTCTATGAAGGTTCATACTCTAATGAACTCACACTAAGTGAAGGGCAATTCTTAAATGAAGACACACTTTGTTTGAATGTATACATTATACATACTTACTGGCAGATACTGAAGACACTCAGTGACCTCATTGATCGATAGGACAGTTGCAAATCACCATTACTTATGCCGCTTTCATACGAGTAAATTCTGCTGGCTTGTTGATGATGGCAGGTTGTGACCAGAATCACCATGTCCTTCATGCAACGTTCATAGCCGCTGTTCTTGTGGCTCGAGTCACCTGTCAATGTGGACAGGGAAGCTTTAGGCCTGTTCAACTCCTCCAAGACGTACTTGCCCGTGATTCAACTTCCATATGGATGAAAACCGAGTTCATGTTGGCCAGCTGTGCTTCCATGTGCAAAAGACACAAAAGATGCGCTTCATTTTTCCACAATTCAGAAACCAGATCCTGTCAAGCTCATTCGTGGACATACAGAAGCAAGGACTACATGAATCCTCGGGCAGGGTTCAAGTACTACGTGCAGTACACCAAGGGCACTGGTAAGCTGGGTATGAACTTGTGCGAGACTTAACCATCTATTGTTTTCAAATGGTTTCGGATATTGGAAGTCATACTTTTTGTTTGTTTGCTGTTTAACGCTGCCCTCAGCAATACTCCAGCGGCATGACGGCGGTCTGTAAATAATCGATACTGGACCAAACAATCCAATGAATGAAATCATGAGCATCGATCCACGCTATTGGGATCGATGACATGCATCAACCAAGTCAGCGAGCCTGACCACCCGATCCAGTTAGTCGCCTCTTACGACAAGCATGTTTTGCTGAAGACGTATTCTACCCCAGACCCTCACATACTGTCACTGTTTGGAGTATGTAATGGCATTTGGTTTATGTTCTTGCAAAGTGAGGTGATGTGAAATGTGGTTATATGTTAAATGTTCGTCATAGAAACATATCACATATCGTGATATCATGTGCAAACATCCAAAAAAGAAACGCACAGGAAGTATGTAGTTCATTGAACACAAAAATTCTTAATCGACAAACGGTGCGCCCAAACGCAGCCATTGTGGATTTGCAATGTTTTAAACGGCATTGTATTCACACTTGTTCAAAAATGTTATGGAAGAAAGTATTAAAGTAAAAGGCACGTGCAAGTTATGGCAAGTTATGTGGTCCAGGGAAATTTGACAGCAAATCGCAACATGACTCAAATTCTTCAATTCTTCAACATCACTTTCTTCATTAACCACCAGAGGGAACTCTTTCAACAGGACAACGCTCCCTCGCACACAGCTTGTGTCACGGTAGACTACCTTCATAATTCCAACATCAACGCCTTGCCAAGGTCGTCGAGATCTAGACCCAATCGAACATCTCTGGGATGAACACATGGTGGTGTTGTTTTGATCACCGCTCCTTAGTATGACTCAAATACACAACCAAAGTTCACAGAACGTCCATATTAATCCATTTTCAGCATCTACCGGATCTTGTTTTCATTTCAAGTCCAATCTTAATGGGTACAACTTCTATTTCAAGTGAATGAAGCCATTTTTATGACTATTGTTAGACCTAGGGACGTAACTCCAAATCGAATGTTTGGTACGGATGACGTCACGACAAAAGCAACACTCCGAGTTAACAAAGTTCATGGTCAGCATAAATAATTACGTTTGGTCTTTAAATGGATTGTTTCGTTTTGATTTATGTCAATATAAGGATTGAAGTTGTATTTGCTAACGTTCATCAGCTGAGGAAGACAGTGCCTCACGTGAGCAAATGTACCACGACCCACAAAGTCATTCTTTAAATCATCACAAACATTCAGGAACAGAAAGCCACAAAAGGATTTTCCTCTTTTGCTCAACTAATATAATTGAGGAATTATACCTATTTGATTACTCAAAACAGATTTCGCCCTCATTTTATGAAAGAAAAAAAAGATATATATTTTGTCCAGTACTCATGTCCAGTTGAGTGGTCAGTGTCAATGTTGATTGTGTAGGTCTCCGTGACTGCAGTGAAATTCAAGTCAACATCTCCTCAGCGGCCGATGACACCTACACCATCACTCCACCTGACGGGCAAAGTCCGATCCTAGCTCACTGCGATCTGACCCACAATGGTGGTGGATGGACGGTAAGATACAAAACTTGATTCCTTCAAACAAACGTCCACGTACCTTGTGACAATAATGAATATATATTCAATATGCATTAACACAATCTCATTAAAATCAGATCTTAGTTCTTGCTACCGCTAAACAAAGATCTGGGAATACCCAATTACGGGTCACGTCAGACCGACCTTGCGCAAACTTTGACTGACAATGGAATGACTGACAAGAAATCGACATTAACTAATCAGAAGGCAGCTTTCTCGGGCTTTACGGCACTAATTTTAAATTGGGGAGAACGCTTCAAAACATATTTTGACAAATTCTCGATTAAAAATTTGAAATGGGCATAAAAGACCATTCTGGAATGGCTTATAGATGGCTTAGAGTGTATGGTTTCAGTCGTTAAGCCTGTAACTATCGTTCAGAATACCCCATGGGTTTGGTGACCTTGACAGGGAATACTGGTTGGGTGAGTAAGTTCAAGTATTCTAGGAAACATGGATATACGTACGATTGATTTGACCCTCGAGTCATTTGACATCGGAAGAGTTAAAAAACTACACCAGTGTATGACAGTCACATTTCGACAACACGCCTTTTCTTGCAACAAACACAATAGATCCGCATTTAGAATACTGTGAGTGAGTGAGTGAGTATGGTTTTACGCCGCTTTTAGCAATATTCCAGTAATATCTCAGCGGACACCAGAAATGGGCTTCACACATTGTACCCATGTCGGGAATCAAACCTGGGTCTTCGGTGTGGCGTGCGAACACTTTAACCACTAGGTTACCCTACCGCCCCTTTAGAATACTGGGGACATTGAACGAGAGTTTAGTCCATGAAGGCCTACATAGAAAGGAGAAAGTAGGTTAAGGGTCTCTTTGGGCCCTCTGGAAATTTCAATTTGAAAATTTTGGAACTGTCTTAATCATGTCATGTGTCTTCATATCTAGTGGTGTTATGGCAACGAGGTCAGAAACATTTACATATAACTATATCTGAGGTTTTGAAGGTTCAATTGTTCACCATTTGTTCATAAAATATCGTCAAATTGCTCTGAGCCATTGGTATTGTTGATTTTATTATCCCACAGTAAGATGTAACATGCATTAATAAAAAGATAAATTATAAATATCATTTGTAGATTTGAAAAGGGCATTTGACTATAATGGTTGTTCTAAACTATGCCATTGTATCACAAAAGCTGCACCGGGAGGTAAAATGTATTTCGTCTTGAAAGCTGTGTACGCAGATGTTAAATCAGGTGTTCATTGTGGATATGATGTCAGGTGCTCATTGTGGATATGATGTCAGACTATTTTCATTGTCCTAATGGGACCGCCTCTGTGGTCTAGTGGTAGAGTAGAAGGTCCGGGGTTCGATCCCCGACCGTGTCATACCAAAAGACGTTAAAAGATGGTACTTGTTGTTACCCTGTCTGGCACTCGGCATTAAGGTGCTAAAACAAGGACTGGTCGGCTCAGAGTCAGTAAACTGTGTCAGAGTGGGGTATTCATGTTAATTTGCAGCAAGGTATCTCAGTGAGCTAGCACTATAAATCAGCATCAGTCTTGACTAATAGAAGCAGCCACACAAACACACACACGTACATGCACGTTGCTATATAAGTGCAGTAACCTTGGACGCGACCTTAAACCCCATTTCACCTCACCTCATTGTCCAAATTGGCTGACTCAGAGATGTATCCTTAGTCCTATTCTCTTCTCTTTCTTCATCAATGAATCGTATATTTGGAATTCTTAAGTATGGTTTTGGAAATATTAAAATAATACGTGGTCATTTGTCTGATCAATGTATTATCATTACCCATTAATAAAACCCATATCTGGACACAGGAGACAGACCCAGACAGAAGGGTGGTGTAGCATCTCAGCTTGTGTCAATATCGGGTGTAGCCACCATTTGCGTTGATACAGGCGAAGCAGGGGTGACGCAATCAGGACACCAGATGATTGAAAACAGCATGGAGGTGTTGTTCCAAATGTCATCCACAGATTGATCCAACTGATAGAGGTATACCGGCTGGTCCTGTCCTGTCGTATGCGTCGTTCTATCTAACCCCAGACATGTTGTATCGGTAGAAGTCTGTGACCTTAGTTTCCATATAAGGATATTCATTACTATCCACTGTTCTTTGTTTATGAATGGTCAAGTAATTAGTTGCCTGGTTGCATCTGGTCAGTTGACTGTATTCATCTAATTTAACATTATACGTGCGTGCGTGTGTGTGTGGTCAATTAAAGCAATACATTTGTGAAACAGTGCGTGGAACAATGAAACAGACTATAAGGGGGTCTTGCGACCAAGCGCAGTGTTTTTTCAGGTTATCTAAGTTGGAATCTCGCTTCGAAATTATGGTATAGTCTGTATTAGAAAACTGTTTTACTTAAAAGAAAATCAATTAGATGTTGAGTTACGACAAGTGGGTTTAAATTTATCAGTTAGTTATTGAATTTGTTTCAAGTAATTAAAGAGATTTAGAATACACAACAAAAAAAACACTCTGAAGTCTTGAAATCTTAAAAGTGTTAAACGGTTCTCAACCATTCCGTTTCAAGCGCGTAGAGGCCTAACACAGGCGTAGTAAACAATTTTCCATATAAGGACTTTCATTACTACATTGTTAGATTTTGTTGTTGACAAGGTTAATGTTTGAAATATCAGTCCTCGTGTTACAAATATGTAATGAAATTAGAAAAAGACAAACACACACAAAAAAAAACTTTCATTTTGAACAATAACCTCACTGTTTTTTCAAAGTTGAGTTAATAGTACAAGACTTCCTTATATGTGAGATTGGGGGCATTAACTCATTCACCTTTCAGTTGTGTAAACAAACCCATACACTTATTGCCGGGCTGATCATCTCAGCAGATGCAGCCCTGAATGCGCATGGAGAAAAGGTTAAAAAAGGTGCCAAAATGCAGTCGCAATAACATTCCATTTCGCGTGCGATGTCAAGTTTCCATATAAGGATATTCATTACTATCCATTGTTCCAATGGTCCAGTAATTAGTTGCATGATTACATCTGGTCAGTTGACCCTGTATCCATCTAATTAATCCAATACATCACTTATACATTCACATATAAATGAGTTATCTTGCATATTATTGAGGAATTGAAGTTGACAACACCCAACACATCCCCCCCCCCCCCCCCCCCCCTCTCACCTCCCCACTCCCCCACCACACGTTTCAAATACGCCCTCGTTGATTTAAGTATGTCCTTTCAAAACAATGTTGTGTTTACACAAGTGTTTTTCCTTTCAACGTGGTCATTGATCGCATGACAACACCCCTCCCCACCCCCACCCCACCCCCAAGGTAAAGGTTGTGTGACGTCATCAATCACGTGAGGTTACTAGGTGCACTTGTGACGTCATCAAATGTGGATGTGTGGATGGATACATCTTAAATATCTACTACTTACAGCAATGTTGTGTTACCTCAAAAAGACTTAACAACAGGTGCCACATGTTGGCCGTCTTATTTCCTGCTGATTGTACGTCCCTGCTTTTGCACAAAGGTTAGAGAGGCTGAGGGGTAGTCTCGTGGTTCGCCGAAACCCGGGTTTGATTCCCCACATAGGTAAAATGTGTAAACCCCATTTTTACTGTCTCCCGTCGTGATAATGCTGGAAATTTGATAACGTCAGGGTATTATCCCTGTGACTGCATATGTCATCTATGCTCTATGTACTTCCGATGAGGCAGCGATTCCAAATATATACTGAACCACAAAAGTTCCTGTGACATTGAATAAGATTTAATGCAAAGTTATGTTTTTTTACCAAATCTGAAACAATTTCGGTTTGCAACAGATAAAAGAGTAAGTGTTCAAATGGTTTAAATTGCCATACTGACTTAGTAAAATGTGTTATTTCACTAAAAACAAAAACATGCAAGCAACGTCTTCGTCTCATGGAATGGACATGGCGTCACACAAAGTCCTGTGGGATATCTGTCCATATCTACTGGAGCAAGTTTCGAAGTTCCTGGAGTGTCTGTGGAATACATGGTTGACGTCGAAGGCGCCGATCCATCTCATCCCACATGTGCTTGATTGGTGAGAGATCAGGGGAACGAGCCGGCCAGGGGATGACATTCACATTGTTTTCTTGAAGAGAATCCTGAACAAGTCGAGCAATATGAGGCCAGGCGTTGTCATGGTGAAAGGTAATGCCTGGGCCATGAGCATGGAAAAACAGTAGAACAACAGGGCCGATGATCTCGTCGCGGTAGTACTGTCCACTGAGAATTCCCTCTTCCACTATCAAACAGGTCCTCTGTCTTGCTGTAATCCCGTCCCATACCATAACGCTGCCGTCCCCGAACTGATCTACTTCCATGACACAATGATTGACATAGAGTTCACCTCAACGTAGGTACACTCGAATCCGTCTTTCGCTGTGGCTGAGGTGCAAACGAGAATCGTCAGTGTATATAACTTATCCCAACTGCATGGCCGTCCAGCGTAGATGCTGTCTTCACTGTAGACGTCCTTGACGGTGGTTTTCTGCCAAAATGGGACGTCTGGCGTGTCTTCTGGTGACAGTCCCTGCACATCTGAGGCGGCGAAGTACAGTTTGTAATGATATTCGTCGAAGGCCAAGGATGCTTCTTGCAGTCAATTTTGCTGGCTGGAATCGATTTCGTAGGTGTGTTGTTTGAATCCAGTTGTCTTGTCGAATGGTTACGCATGGCCTGCCACTCAGAGGATGGTCTCTGACTGCATTCGTCTGTTGCCAATGTTGCCATGAACACCAAATGGTGTTTCTGTGGACATTAAATTGTCTTGCAACACCTTGACTCCATCCTGCTTCAAGCATACCAATGGCTCGCAGATGCTCATTTTCGGACAGTCGTGGCATTTCGTAACGCTGACTAACTACAAAATTTTGTTGTTTTGCTGAGTGGTTGTTGTCAGCACGATGCTGAACAATGCATATGGAATCCCGTTGACGCACATGTTTTTATACCCAATCTCGGGTAGCG